CTCCAGTCTGGGTGACAGAGTGAGACTCCGACTCAAAAAAAAAAGAACAGAGTGACGAGACAAGCAGGCACAAAATACATCACTAAATAAAAAATAAGGTTCCCAGCACAACACCAGGCATGCTTTTTAATGATAACTTCATTTGAGGTCATCATTTAAAAAGATGACTGACTCATTACTCAACAGACAAGCACTTAATAACCAGACAGAAACAGGAAGTATATGCCGAGGAAGCGGCACCTTTAAACGGAATTCAGCTCTGTGTCACAGGCCTAAGAATGCACATGCTGAGACTGTTCTCAGGTACCGAAGGGTGTCTTCAGTGGAGCCCTCTGGCCCGGTGGGGCAATCCTCTCCTGCACATGTGGCTCTAGAAACCTGGGCCTATCTCACCCTGGGTCCTACCAGGGCTCCCCTCCTGAAGTTCCACAAACTCAGTTTCTCCGTGACAGAGCTGGTGACTGACAACATGCTGACCAAGTTCACAGGACACCTGCTGCCTCATAAACTAGAACACAGTAGGTCTACAGGCACGTCATGACTCTATCAATCCCTTCCCGTAGCAGTGTGTCCCTCATGCATAGCTGCCTTTTCCAGTGTCACGATGACTACTGGGAAGGCAGATGGAGAAGTGAAGGCTCAGAAGCTTGCCATCAGGACCAGTGAGTTCTGAGAAATTCTGCATCGAGGGGACAGTGGCTTCCGTTGTTACCTCAATTACTATGTGTCTGACTTTATTACTTGAATTCTTAAGGGCAACTTAGTTTCCACATGCCAGAGGTAGGAACAAACAGGTTTTTTTTAACCTAGCGGCAAGAACACGACCGAAAAGTAGGAGGTCAGACAAGGCAACGTCAGTAAGCCTTGAGCGCAATAATCGATGTCGCTGGTCTTGGAGATAAACCGGCACTCCCCGTAACTGAGAGGCGAGTGACCCCAAGTTCCCAGTCTTTCCCACGCGGATGCCCAAAAGCACCGCTCCCATCCCAAGCTGCTGCCGAACCACCGGCAACGGCTCCCTCCCGGACCAGCTGACTCCGGCGCGGCTTCGCGTGCCCCCAGGCCCCGCATCAGCGCTCCGGCATCCAACCCGAGCCGCGGCGCCCTCCCG